CCTCTCTCGCTCTTTCCCCCCTCTCTCTCACTCTTTCCCCCTCTCTCTCGCGCGCACTCTCTCTCATGCACTCTCTCGTGTGCTTTCTCTCCCTCTCTCGTGCTCTCGCGCTCTATCGCGCCTTCTCTCTTGTGTTGTCTCTTGCGCTCTCTCTTTCGCCCCGTCTCCTCTCTCTCATGGCCTCTCATTCGCTCTCTCTCTCGCTCTCTCGTACTCTTTCTCGCGCGCTCTCCGCTCTCTTTCTTCTTTCCTTTCCTTGTCCATTTCTCTCTCCTGCAGCCAGGGACAGTGCCATCTGGTTCATGGGACTCTGATTATTGTCCTTTGCTGTGCGTTGTAGCTGAAGGAGGGTCTGCCTTATTGCCCTTTGCTGTGCGTTGCAGCTGAAGCTGGAGGCGGCGCTGCGGGAGGGCCTGCCTTATTGTCCTTTGCTGTCCGTTGCAGCTGGAGCTGGAGGCGGCGCTGCGGGAGGGCCTGCCTTATTGTCCTCTGCTGTCCGTTGCAGCTGGAGCTGGAGGCGGCGCTGCAGGAGGGCCTGCCTTATTGTCCTTTGCTGTGCGTTGCAGCTGGAGCTGGAGGCGGCGCTGCGGGAGGGCCTGCCTTATTGTTCTTTGCTATCCGTTGCAGCTGGAGCTGGAGGCGGCGCTGCAGGAGGGCCCGCGTAATTGTCGTGCGCTGTCCGTTGCAGCTGGAGCTGGAGGCGGCGCTGCAGGAGGACCTGCCGCCGGGCCAGGGCCAGCGCCATCTGCTGCTGGTGTCGGGCGTGTGGGGCAGCAGGTGTTATTCTCATTGTACATTGCAGCTGGAGCTGGAGGCGGCCCTGCAGGAGGGCCTGCCTAATTGTCGTGCGCAGTGCGTTGCAGCTGGAGCTGGAGGCGGCGCTGCAGGAGGGCCCGCCTAATTGTCGTGCGCTGTGCGTTGCAGCTGGAGCTGGAGGCGGCGCTGCAGGAGGGCCTGCCGCCGGGCCAGGGCCAGCGCCACCTGCTGCTGGTGTCGGGCGAGCGGGGCGGCTGGCTGCCGCGCGCGCTGCGCCTGCCCGAGCGTGAGCGCATCCGCCTCAGCGCCGCCGACCTGCGGGACGACGTGCGCGCCGCGCTGCTCGCCGCCCCCGTCCGCCTGCACGGCGCGCCCCCGCAGCCGCTGCGCGCCCTCGTCGCCGACTGGGGCGTCGGCGACCTCGGTCAGTCGCGCTCCTCCGCTATCGGATGCCCGTAAAGTTAGCATACCCACATATCACAATATTGAAAAACTGTATCCAAGAATTTTGTTCTAATTAAAGACTAATTAATACCCAAATTTAAAAATTTTCTTCTAATGTACAGCATCGAAATATTCAACACTAAATGTGGGTACGCTAACTTAACGTTAAGTTAGCATACCCACACAACAAAAACGCATGAAACATAAAAACAAAATGTACCAGAAGTTTGTCCTAATTAAAGAATAATTGATACCCAAATTCGAAAATTTTGAAAATTTGTGCAACATCGAAATATGCAACACTAAACGTGGGAATGCTAGCTTAACGTTAAATTAGCGTACCCACATTTAGTGTTGAATATTTCGACGCTGTACATTAGAAGAAAATTTTTAAATTTGGGTATTAATTAGTCTTTAATTATAACAAAATTCTGAGATTCAGTTTTTCAATATTGTGATATGTGGGTATGCTAACTTTACGGACATGCTATCGGGCTGCACGTAGAGACCCATTCACAATGCAAACATAAGCATAACGCAAATGCGCAAACATTACCAAAATTGATATACTGAAGATTTCATAATGACATAACATAAATGTAAGCAAAATAAGAGTTTCTATTGGTTTTGAGACATTGTAGTTTACTGTTGGTTGGATGTGAGAATCGATTTCGAGGTATCGACTGTGTCGTCGACTAACGATACATGGCGTTAGTTCGTAGGAAGTTTTTGCCATCTCGAACGTTAAAGCACTATGAATCTTCTGCGCTTTCGATTGTGCTGACGCTACGCTGCATAAAAACTCCCTCGTCTATCGACCTTGATCCTATTTCGATTCTCGATTTTGAGTTCACGTACTGAGATTGTTTCATTTCTTATGTCTTACTTATGCATGAGCACAGAAGCTTGAAGCTTGCATGCTTTTAAGTTAACGTCTTACGTGTTATGCTTATGCGAACGCATTGTGAATGAGATTGCATATGGACGTAGACCTAACTTTTGTGTTTACGTCTGGCTTATGTTTACTTTTGCATTGTAAATGGGTCTTAATGATTTCCCGAGAACACATATGAGGAGCAAACATTCAAACGGTGACGTTTCTAGTTTGTAAAAATTGAGTTCTTCAGTTGTTGTTGTTGGTTTTCTTTTTTGATTTTTAAGATAATATGTTTTCTAAAAACGTGGGAGATATCCTACAATATATTGAGGGGAACTCTATTTCTTGAGGTAAGGAGGATGCTGAAAGGTGTAAAATATGTGCTGTATTTTATCATTTTTATTTGTAAAGTGAGAAGTGGACTTGGCACGTTTTGAATGTTTGCTCCTCATATTAGGGAGATAGCATAGAGTAGTGCGTAAATAGACTGCAATATCGATGTTCGCCGAATGTGCAAATGCACATAAGTGATGTGGACCACGAACTGCGCATGCCCAGTAGATGGATAGTGCAGTCGATTGCTGTAATGCATCATCGTGAAAAAACTGTTGCATCTGCAGTGAATCTCATGGGTGTTTGCAGTCCCAGAAATGGCAGGTTTTAAACTCTAGCAGCATAGCCGCTATTTATACTCTGTCTGGGGGAGAATTGGTGGCTGCTCTGATAGTTGTTTTCCCTAGTTTCTTCGATAAATATAAGGTGGATGCCGGAGCAATACCCAAAGAAACGGGAATGAACCGTGCGAGATATTTTCCCCGTATTCTCCTCCTGCCCAAATACACTTAATTGCACTACACTAGCACACTGGGGTGGTGCCTCGTTGGTAGGAGATATCTGGTTGAGAAAACACCGTTAGCCAATGCTAGTCAGCGCCGAATCTCACCAATCAGGAAGGAAGTTCAACGCCACCTCCAGAGGAAAACACGTACACTACACTTCCTGGAGTACCACACGTGTAGTGTGACCAATCGAGAACTTACGGCTTGTCCCGGCTCGGAAGTTGTCTCACTGCGGGAGATACCTGGAGGCGGAAAGGCAGGCTTGCCGACGTGTACGTAGGCCTGCATCAGATCTTATCGCTCAGTGGGAGGGGAACAATGTCCCCACCCGTAAACTAATATTAATCACACTTCCGGGTCTCACAGCAGTTGACGTACCCAGAAAGGTCAATCAATCTACCAACTAATTAATCAGTCAGCATGGCAAATGACAATACGGACAATACGGACCCGCATGCGCAGTGTCTTCTTAATTACGAACTTATTTTTTTTTAGAAGTTGATCCTTTGTTACGCGTGTACATCTTCCTGAAGAGGCTCCGGTTGATTGATTGATAATTAGTGTTCCCGGACGCCCGTAAGTGTATGTGTTTTCCTCGGAAGGTGGCGTTGATCTTCTCTTGCTGATTGGTCAGGTTCGGCGCCGACCTATCGTTGGCTAACGGTGTTTCTCTCAACCATGTTTCTCCTACCAACGAGACATCATCACAGTTGCGACATGTTCTAAGCTCCCGATCGGTCTCCCGACATGTGTGCTAGTGTAATGCAAGCAAGTGTATTTGTGTGAGAGGAGAAGAGAGTTCAGAAATACGGGAAAAAGATGTCGCACGGTTCGTTGGCGTTTCTTAAAGTACTGCTCCAGCATGAACGTTGTGTTGCTTGATGAAACTCGGTATTGACATAAAACATCTCAAGAAGAGTGTTGTTTCGATGGGTTTTCAAAAAGTAAATGCGATCCAAATTGAAATGTTGGTTTAAAATACTTTAACACGATTTTAGTTAAATTGTTAAAAACGTTAATTGTGATATTAAGTATTTTGTATGGAAGTTGACGGTACATTTTTTAAATTGAGGTCATTGATGGATGTAATGAGTATCATTATTAAATAGCAAATAACTTTACCACGTTCAATATTTACACTTTCTAAGTATAGGCAAATACAATTCTCTGTTGCAAATAATATAATACTAAAGATAAAAACACCACATTTTTATTCTAATGGCTCTCTTCCGCCGCGGGATTCACATTTTCACACTTTTTTCATAGTAAATAATGCATATTTCGTGTAAATTATGTTTAACCTCCATTTTATATTCGTAAAATATGATTGCAATTTAAGGATAAACGTTTTTCTATGTAGTTCATAACAATCCAACATTTCAACATACCACTGTGCATTAAAATATTCCTCTCTCTACAATGGATACTGGTAACCCTAAAAATTATTCTGCATACTTCGTTCTAACTATGAAGGTATTTGCTATGCGCTTTCAACAAAAAATTAAATAGGCTAAAAACACCGTTACATTTTTATTTCTCTTTTAAACATATTTACACCTAGAATCCTAAAAATGCTTTCGTGTGTTTTTCCTTTTGAAAAACGTAAATTACTAGTTTGGTTCTTGTTTCAACAGAAAGAGAGAAGCAATTGTATTTAAATACTTAATTTTCTAGAAAGGTAACCAAAGCAAATGTGTGATACTTTTTTATCAATGTAGATATCAATATGAACAACCAGTGTTTATTTGTTAAAACGCATATCCTTCTATTTCTTTGAGCATATTTGAACTCAGTGAAACGATATGGAGGTATTTCTAGAATACCAGATTACAATAAGAAGTAGCAACTCAGAAGTCACTAATATTTATTCTTTATGCAAGTAGTTTTGTTAATTTTATAAATTAAGCATATGATAATTAACTATTTCAGAGAATTAAATGAAAAATATGGCAGAATTTTTCACAAATCTTTGAAAATGGCATTTCAAAGATCAAGCATTGTAGTAAGGCAGGTCTCTCTATTCCCATAGGCGGAGCAACAAGAAGTGGATTTTTAAGAACTAAATAATACTCTGAAGTTCTTCTTTCGGAGGGAAAGTAAAGCCGGCAGTCTCATGATGTAGATACCTTACATGTAAAGCATCCTCAAATCTCAAAAAAGCCTCCGATCTAAATTAAAATTACCTCTTTCGCCTCCCAAATCCTTCTTTCTCCCCTTGGTAGTGAAAAGAGCGTGGCGAAATTTGCATGTTCAGACGGAAGAGCAGGTCTCATGGCCTGTGTCTTGCCACGTAAAATAAGACACCATGGAACTGTGAGAGCGTAGGCTTCCGCGGCCGGAGTCAGTATTTACTTGGCTGCCCGCGTGACGCCGCGACCATGGCGACGGTGCCGACGTTTCGGTCGCCATGATCTTCCCAGAGATCGCCTTACTTTACGCCCTGAGAAAGGTCGCCGAAACGTCGGCAACTTCTCCATGGACGTGGAGAGACCCGGACAGCCAAGTAAATACCGTGGAAGTGAATTGAATTTAAAAGCGTCGCGAGTTTCAAATGCATATTTGTGAACATGGGATCATATAGGTGTTGTGGTGCGTTAGTCGCCTAGGTGCCTAGTCGTTTTTGTGGCTTCCATTCAGCAGACAACTGTTGATGATGGCTAAGTCATCGAAAGCTGCTCTTGCAATAAATACTACTGTTGGCAATGACAACGTTTATAATTATAACATGGGATCAATTGTTATGCCTATTCTTCTCAGAGATCACACCAAACGATTGTGCTCGTTTCTTAAAGTTAGCTAAATGTTCGAAAAAGTCTCTTTGAGTTGTATTTCTTTTCCAATAGGCGTCGGCCCTGCGGAGCTGTTGCTGACGCCCGGGCCGCCGGTTCCCATCGGCCGGCCCCTCCCGGAGCCAGACCCGCTTTTCGTGCCCCGCAAGCTGCGCAGCGCCGTCTTCGTCAAGGAGTCCATCTTCAGGGACGAGAAGCTGGGCGACCTCTTCCTGGTGTCGGGAATGAGCAAGGAAGAACTGCTGGGCGTCGTGCCTGACCCGCAGCGCGTGTGCAGTGCTCAGGAGGCGCGCGGCGCGGCGCGCTCGGCGCAGTTCGTGGCCGGCGAAGGCCTCGCCAAGGACGAGGACACGTTCAAGGCCCTCTGCGCCAAGCAGAAGCACCGCGGCGCGCACTGGCTCAGGAAGACGCCCCAGGGCCTGCTGTGGATGGCGTCGGACGGCGAGAATTCCAAGATGGTGGACAATCACGTGGAGTACGAGTGCATGTGGGCCATTCGCCATAAGAAGTCGCCGCTGGCTGAAATTGATCAGTTGTTGGTGAGGAACGACCAGATCAAAGTGAGGCAGGTAAGTTACACTTTCTATAATTTACTATTGTTAGCATATTTTAAAACTATTACCTTATTCAAGATCCAGTCCTTAACTCTTTTTTACATCATTAAGTATCTTTCAATAAAACACTTCAAAAGGGGGGTCCTTTGTAAATGAAAAATCATGATTAGATTTCATTCATCTCTTCAAAATACCTCTTATTATATTTTTCTTATATAATATACTTCAGTGAATTTGGCCATCAGGTTTTCTTCGACAGCTATATATAAAACAACTTTTTTTACAATCACATCATGAAACGTTTATTGAGTATCTTGGTAAAACAATATATAAATATCATATCTCAGCAATTTTCTTATTAATATTCTTTATAATTCATTTAGTAATCATTTTCTCCTTTACACAGTTTAGCCTGAGAATGGGGAAAAGTGAGTTGCCCAAAACGTCGCTCTGTAATTCTCAATAACCGTTTTTACTACAATTATCAGAGTGTACATTTTAATCAGAGTGAACATTTAATCAGGGTGCACATTTAATCAGGGTGTACATTTTAATCAGAGTGTACATTTTAATCAGAGTGTACATTTTAAGTCGGAGTGTACATTTTAAGTCGGAGTGTACATTTTAAGTCGGAGTGTACATTTTAAGTCGGAGTGAACGTTTTAAGTCCGAGTGTACGTTTTAAGTCGGAGTGCACGTTTTAAGTCGGCGTGCACATTTACGTCGGAGTGTACATTTTAGTCGGAGTGTACATTTAAATCGGCGTGTACATTGAAACGGTGGTGTACATTGAAATGGGCGTGTACATTGAAATGGGTGTGTACATTGAAATGGGCGTGTACATTGAAATGGGCGTGTACATTGAAATGGGCGTGTACATTAAAAATGAGCGTGTACATTGAAATGGGCGTGTACATTGAAATGGACGTGTACATTGAAATGGATTGGTCGGTGAAGAGCTGACCAGTTGCGATGTGCGCAGGTGGTGTGCGACGCGCCGGGCACGGGCAAGAGCGCGCTGCTGCGGCACGTGGGCGAGCGGGCGCGCCAGCTGATGCCCGGGCGCTGGGTGCTGCCCGTGCACCTGGGGCGGCTGCGGCCGCGCCTGCACCGCCTGCTGGACAAGTGCGTGACGCAGGAGGCCGTGCTGGAGCTGATCCAGGAGGCCGTGCAGCTGGACGGCGAGGCGTTCCCGGCGCTGTCGCTGGACGTGCTGCGAACCGTGCTGTGGCGCACCGGCGACGTGGTGGTGCTGGTGGACGCGCTCGACCAGGCCGCGCCCGAGTTCACGCTCGTCGCGCAGGTACGTTCACTGCCTCGCCGGGGCTTTGCCCTTTTGGAGTACTGTGGTTATTAGAATACGTACAGAGACGATTTCACCCTTGTAGCCTTTTTGATTATTTTGCTCAGAATCATAGGCTGTCGATGTATTAAATAATTTTACAAAAAGTAAATTCCGATGATTTTTATTGACAATTACCTTATTCTCTCTACCTACTAGGTATTAGCTAGCTAATTAGAAAGAATAAGGGGATTGTCAATAAAACATCATTGGACTTTACTGTTTTGTCATATTATTGAAGTATTCCATGACGATCTGTGATTTAATAAATTAAACAACTATCAGTATGTTAATTCGTTTTATTATCAAGGCATCCATATAATGAATTTTTTGGTACCTATTTTTGCCTATTTTGGAAATGAGTGATTGTTTTGAGACAAATGCCTAATTTCACCTTATTTTCGCTTTTTGAGGACGTGCTTTCCTTTTGGTTGTATGGTTTCGCCAACCGTAACTTTAAACTCGCGCTTCGTAACAATGTTTGTTTAAAAACATCCATATTTTGAAAATATATACATTGATTTTAGAAAACATCGGCTTCAATATATCGGTGTTTAAACATATCGATGTGTGTTTACAACATGGATGAGCCAATCCGGTCCCAGATTTTTAAGGCAGTAGTACCGTAGCGATCTAGCACTGGAGGATCGCGGGTTCGAGTTCCGTCTCGGGCTTGGTTGTATTTGTGTTCGCCTTTCACCCCTTATCGTTACCATATCATGTCATCTTCACAGTTACCATAATATTAAATCCAATAGTGGTCGCTAATGAGAGAGATGTTGACAATAATAACAAAAATAAAGAAACATGGATGTTTTGAAGGTATTGATGTAGCGTCCTTAACGTGGCGTATATATATATATATATATATATATATATTATATATATATTATATATATATATATGTGTGGGTGCGTGTTTGTCAGGACATCCTGGGCGTGCTGGCCAAGTCGCCGGCGGCGGTGCTTGTGGTGGCGACGCGCGCGGCGACGCGCGCCGCGGCCGAGAGGCGCTGGGCGCGCGCGCGGCGCAGGCTGCAGCCGGCTGGCCGCCGAGGCCAGGAGGCGCCTGTCTGGCGGGCGAGTGGCGACCGCGCCTGGCGCCGACGAGGCGCGCGCCCGCCGTCTGGCGTCGCTGCTGCTGCCGCCGCTGCGCGGCCGCTGCCACACGGACGCCGGCGCGCCGGACCCGCGCCTGCCGCTGGCGCTGCGCCTGCTCGCAGAGGCCTTCGAGGTGCGCGGCCTTTGCTTGTTTACCTCATACAAAAGCGACGGTTGTTCTCACAGGTTTAGGTAGCCATTAAAGGCTCTGGTCGGAGATCCTATGGTTACACACCGGACGGTGACAGGGCTTTCGGCATTACCTAGTTTGAATTCAGCCACTGTATAGGAGAGGATTCTAGCAGCTGACTGCTCTGATAGGTATTTTCCATGGCGTCTCCAATCAACACCAGACAATTACCGGAAGCCAGTACCCTAACAAACGGGCCACTAGCCGGCCGGCGATCATTCCTGTCTTCTGTTCCTCTCTTTACTTCTTTCCTATCTCTTTCTTGTTCACTTTCCTTCCTCTTCCTGACATTAGGTCAAGCGCCCGATCTCACCAGCCTGCACGAAAGATGGCCCGCGAAAGATGATTGAGAAAAAATACACAATATTACGAACTAATAATATTTATGCAGGTGACACTCACGTGATTCACCAGTCAAACTCAATCAATTCTTAAAATCGGACGCCCGCAGGGGTCAATTGATGCACTGCAGTTGCTCTTGGCAGGGAAGGGTCCTAGGGTTCCTCTCCCGACGGTGGCAGTGGTTTTCGACACTAGCTACATAGTAGATCGATGTTTCAGTCTCTGTCTGGTGGGAGAATTCTAGGGAAACGGGATGCTTTCTGATCGGCAGTATTCCGTAGCTTCTCCGATAAATACCAGACGAATGCCGGAGCAGTACCCTAACAAACGGGCCACGGTCCGCGCGCGATCTTTTCTTCTTCTTCCTTCTCTTAACTCTTTCCTTTCTCTTTCTTTTCCTCTTTCCTTTCTCTTCCTTGTCATACATACCTACACGTACCTACAGTATGCTACAACATATGCCAGGAGATATATTTAATATTTAATTTAATATTTCGATTTGGTAGGTCCAAGTATACTGAATACAATGCTTTTTGTTCTAGAATATTAGAGCAACCCAGAGCTGAGTAATTTAGAAAAGAGTAAATGCCCACAAATGCGAAAAAAGGCGCACGACGTATAACAAAAATGGCCGCCGTTTGTAAACCGTGTACAATAAAAAAAAGTTAAAGACTTTTTGAACAAGCCAAAACATAAGGGCATTTATGTACTAAATATTAATTTCTCAAGAATGTCGTGCGACCAATTTATTAAATTCCGGACCATTTAAAAAGGATTGACCCAAGAGCATATGCCGTCGTGTGGCAGGACGAGGCGCTGGCGGCGGAGGCGGTAGACGAGGAAGCGCTGGGCGTGCGGGAGCTGACGACCTTCGAGCTGTGCGCGCGCCTCGTGAGGAAGAAGTTCTTCCGCTACTGGGAGCAGCGGCAGCTGCGCGAGGGCCGCACGCTGTCCTCCTGCTCCATGGAAAAGGTCAGCCCGCCCACCCGCCACTGCGCTCAAGCCCTAGACCCAGATTACAATGGCACCCTGTACCAAGCATTATTACACAAGGCGTAGTCTGGTAGACTACTTTGGGTAAAAATGAAGAAAAACGCGTTGATTTAAATGAAACACTAATGGATTTAATGGATTGAACATACATGACATGGAGTTACAAATACATTTTAATGAGTTATATAGGTACATACATACTTGGAATTAGACTTAATTACCCCTGACGTAAATCGGCTGTTACGGTGTCATCCAATCGAGAGGTTGAACATCACCATAGTGATGTCATTGTAGTGATGTGTATGCTTCAGATTAGATGTCACCGTAAAAGCTGACGATCCGCCAGGTGCAGCTCTAAATAAATCTAATTATAAATGACTTGATTCTCGCAGTAGACACTTGCTAGGTGTTGTTCACATATGACTGTTGAGAAGCGTCTGCAGAAGTACCTCGTCACGCTACATTTATGATGATCGCCGTAGTCCCATTAAGATTGATAAATGTTCAGAACCAAACTTAAATGCTACAAGACAAAGAGTTTGTATTCATTATTTACAATTATTTCCAATAAGACACCAAAAACATTACTGACGTAACTGCAGAGGCACAGTCTATAGAACGAAGTGTGTTACGAGTAAAATGGCGTATACCGGATATGGCCACGCGCACGATTTGTGTATTTCACTACCTGGTCACACAATGAAAGTACACCGAAGTTCAGAAACTGGGAGTAAGGGGAAAGAGGAAAAAGTGGGAGAAGCTTCCGGCACTAGTTGCGTCGTCTCCAGTCGACGCCTTTGCAATCTAGGGTTAAGACACTCGTCTACCTCGAAATGACTTTTTCGGTGAAAAATTTGAATAATTGTTTTTTGTACATTGAAATGTGCACTTTTCAATGTATAAAACAGTTTGTTTTTAAGTTTGTCAGTTTTTTTAATTTATTTGTATCTTTCAGATTGCCTGCACGTATGTCACGTGTCAAATATTTGAAAGAACATGCATCAAATGTGGTACAAACATGTTGCGAGTGAAGCAGAAAGTCAGTTATTGGGCCTACACGTGTAATAGAAATTGGGTATTAGAAATAATAAATTGCTCTATTAATCGACATTGTTACCAGTGATTTTAAAAGTTCCAATTCAAATCCATCTAAATGGCATGCAGGTCCATTATCAATTTTTAAATAATGTTATGGTTCAGGCCTTAAAGTATAATGCAAATAACAATGTTATAAAGGAATCATCAAATGTTTAACGGTTCATTCGATATGTTGTTACAAATCTTACTCTGTTTTGGGAAGAAAAATGGGCATTATGCATAAAATAATTAAAATGAAAATTAAAAAAAAATTCTTTGACATCATTATCTAAACCTACGAGTAAGCATATTTAAATTCGGATATATCCCACAAAAAAAATTATTTTTAAAAACTCAGGTAGACGTGGCTCCAAAATGTAGTGTTCCTTCAAGATCACAAGCTGGAAAGAAAGGGGGACACAGCCATCCTACTAGGAGCTTCAATGCCATAAAGATTAAGTCGTAACAAAGCTCGTAATTGGATGGCTGTGTCCTCCTCTCATACCAGCGCATGTTCTTGAGAGGACACTAAATTTAAATTGGAGTATAGAGAGGATATTTCAATGCGACTCGGGTACGCATACGTCAGGTAATCTGTTACCTCAAAGCATAGAATAAAATAAAAGAATACAAGGTTACCGAATATTTATTTAAAGTAAATAGCAATTTATTTTCATATATAATCAGTTGATACTGCATGAAAAACACATGTATAAATTTCGTTCTTGGAAGCTATGTTGCATTTCATGCATGCATCCCATTTGTCCTCTGACTTTTGACACACACTCAATTTTAATAATTTACTTATTTTTACTTTGTTCATACGAGTATTCGTGTGTACTTATACGTATGTGCATACACTCATTTGTATATTCACGCCTACAGAGGTAATTCGTTACCAAAAATTAGCTCTATTGTTTTGTAAGAGTCTGCAAGACTAATAACAACACATTCTTCATCTTATCCTCGAAGGTGAATGATCAAAATAACACGCTTGCTACTTTTCATTAGCAAAAAGTAAAAACCAAAACCAAAATTTATGGGGGACATATTACAGCGTATATGTGTACTATCTAGAGTAAACTTTAGTAAACCTTCGTTAGCAAACAATTTTTGACTTTTAAGAGCTCTAATTAATCTTAGTTAGTGTTTATAAAATTCCTATTATCCGATATGAAAAAAAGAAATGCTAAAATCTTTCATTTGTCTCCAATTATTCCTGTATGTACTCTACACTGACAATAAACCGTATTTTATTTGTGCTGTTGCGTAGGTATTTATGTAGCGGACCTCTTGAACGTATTCAAATTTATTGCCTTCCAAACACTCCACAAAGTAATTACTCAAGTTTTATGTTTCTCCCAGTCTCCTCAAAAATTGAATGTTCTCTAGTTACTCCCCTGAAGTGGCGCTGATTTTCTTCTCGGTCGAACGTCTTCAGCAGATAATTTTTCCTCTTCTGCAACTATTTAGGCTAATTTCCTAAATTCTAATTTCCATTGCTCCTGCACACAGCTCGTCATCTATACCTGTGTACTCTCGTAAAATGATTCGGGAGGCGTATATTTCTGGAACATCTCCCACTACTGGCATTGGTTCTATCTCGTCAGCAGCCCGCGCAATATCATATTCTGATACGAAAGAAACCCAATATTTATCGAAACAGTTCTCTGAGCTGCCGGCACCGAATTCCACAGTACTATTACTCCGACAGTATCGAGCTAAGACCATTTCAATGGAATTATTTTCCTCTGCGTAAATCGTATCTCGCACAAGTATCGTGCGGTAATTTCTCATCATAAGTAAAATGATTCCTTGATTCAAAGATTCAAGTCTGATTTCTTGTTGCGTTTGCTTAAAATAATTGTACTTTAACATGTGATCCCAGTTAATGAGTTGTCACATTATTGATGTACGGTTTTCAGAAAAATACTTGATGATTTTGGCCAGGCGTATTTGAGAAATTTCAAAATAAGGTGCTCCTTTTAACCTTTTAACCTGTAAGGTTAAAGGTGGCCGATCGACACTGTTATACTGATCGACACGGGTCATGTTGTTGAGATGAGTTTGCCATGAAGTTAAGATTTTTGATATATTTTGTATCATTGCCTAAAACGGTCTGAAGTGTGTTGTGAGCTAAAAAAATTGCTCGTAGTTGGAGTTAATAAACTTTCACGATAACCGAATAAATATTCCATTAATTCCGAAGTTTTCTTGACGGGACGTACATTTTGTTCGAGTTGCGGCGAATTTGGCGTTACGCATGTACGTGGAAACTGTACTAAGAGTATGTTCTATGATGAAATTTAAAGAATACTTGAATTTCGCCATTTTCTATGCATTATATCACTCTCACGTCATTATCATGTTAATATTAATCTGTTACAAAGAACAATTTCTTTTCTTCTCCAAAAGTTTTTCTTCAGTTTTATAAGTGGTAGACTTCTCTGGGTGCCCAATTTGACCTGTAGTGTGAATGGTTCAACTCCTTGAAGCCTTACTCCTTTACAACATTCTTTGCAATCTGAATAGTAAGCACACGTTCTGAAGAAGCTAAACACCAAGCAAATATCACTTCCTGCATGTAACTCAATTACCTCCCTTCGCAAAACTGAGTGAGGTGTCAGCTGCAAACTTATGCTAAATATGAATAAGAATCTGTGTAATATTGTTGAAACTGGGTACATTTACGCACGGTGAATAAATTACCTTAATGACACATGGTCCACCTGATGGCCATAATGACCACAAATATTACTCGCGCAACATTTCTTGAACGATGGATTGAAGAAATGTGCGTAGAGTGGGGATATTAGTTATGAAATCGGTCACTATACTTTATGGAGCAATGCCAATCTCTGGAGAATCAGTCATGCCTTGGCAACGTTCTCAATAATTTGCGTTCTAACTTTCTCAGGAGTTCGAAGTATCTCCTGTGACAGATCTTTTCCTGCTTCGGTCATTTCTTTAGATTTTTGGAGAAAATAACAGATAGAAGTTCTCGTCTTCAAAAGAAAATTGTTTCCATTTCGCGCCAGTGAAGATGTATTTGGAATGTTGTCACCAGTGCTCGCTGCGAGCTTTTGCCCTCATCTCTTTATTGTGCCAGAGAGAGGGAAGTAAGGTCATCGTTCAAGAAAAGTTGCGCGAGTAATACCATATTGGCCACAATGACTATGTGAACGACCACAGTGATACCGTGAGTGACCGTAATGACCAAGTGAATGACCATAATGACCACGTGAATGACCGTACTGACCACGTGAAAGACCGTACTGACCACGTGAATGACCGTAATGAACAAGTGAATGACCGTAATGACCAAGTCAATGACGGTAATGACCAAGTGAATGACCGTAATGCCAAGTGAATGACCGTAATGACCACGTGAATGACCACAATGTCCATAATGACAACAGTGTCCTTAATGATTGATCGCAACGACCACGTAGATGGTCATAACGACCTTATCCGTCGACACGCACCGCGCGTGCGCGGGTGTGCGCGCAGGTGCGGCCGGAGTGGATGGACGGGCACTGCCTATGCGCGCTGGCCGAGGTGCTGAAGCCGCGCCAGCTGGAGAAGCTGTCCATCGACGGGCGGCGCGAGCGCGTGCGCGCCTTCTGCGAGGAGGTGGCGGCGGTGGGCGACGCGTCAGCGCGCCTCGTGCGCCCGCAGGGCGACCACGCGCGCTTCGAGCACCACGTCGTCGCCGAGTACCTCGCAGGTACTACATTTCACTTCACTTCACTTCACTTCACTCCACTCCACTCCACTTCACTCCACTTCTCTCCACTCCACTTCACTCCACTCCACTCCACTCCACTTCACTCCACTTCACTCCACTTCACTCCACTCCACTTCACTCCACTCCACTTCACTCCACTTCACTCCACTTCACTCCACTCCACTTCACTCCACGTCACGTCTCTTCACACTACTTCAAGTCATTTCACTTCACTTCACTTTACTTAAATTATTTTATTTTATATTATTTTATTTTGTTTCATTTTACTTTATTTCGTTTCATTTCATATGTTAACATGCTCGGATCTAATGGAATTTGTGTATTATTCTCTTGTATTTATTTGGTAGAAATGAGGGCAATATTTGTTGTTTCGCTGCGCAATTTTTCCTCTGTAAAATAAATACCCTGCTTGTTCGCACTGAAATTGATGTTAATACTTCATTATCCTCCCTTTACGTAAAGAATAGAAAAAGTGTTCCCGAGCGCCTAGGCAGGATTAACATTGCAGAGTCACTGCCCTGAGGAAGCCTGCGACATGTCAGGCGAAACGTCGGCCTCCCAGCCAACGACGCGGTGTCTCCCGGATAGCCGAGAATTTATGGAATCGAGCCGCGGAAGCTTACGTGTGCATCTGACGTTACAGTAGACAAGCAAGTCGGCTAACGACGCAGATTTGATTCTGAAAGTCCTGATGTACTGCCCCAAACCAAATGTTCGCGTTTGTTCCGCAGGGTACTGGCTCTCAGAGAATTGGGAAGAGCGGCACGAGCGCATAGTACGGGTGTACTTTTCGGAGGGGATGGAGGAGCTGAGGACCGTCTTCGACAGGTTCATGACGGCTGGACTTCCGCTGCACAAGAGCGTCCTGGACCGCACTATCCTCATGAAAAATGAAGCTTGGGTTAGAGAGCAGGTGAGAATATCACACCGTCGAAATTTAAAGCGCTGCGGTAAATGAAAGTAGCTAATAAATTCCGAATTATTTTAACTAGTGTTATCATGGGGTATATTTATTTTTATATTTTTATATTATTATATTATATTTTTAATTTGTAGCTGTTAAAGGAATATTTTTTAATAGCGCCAGTTTGTTAATTACAATCTTTGAAAATTTGTTCTCAAATTTTTTATCCATTGACTACTTGAAGAGTGAAAACGATTGATGTGTGTGTGTGTGTCTACTCCGATGTATAGTGGATTATTAGAATCTCAAGTGGTCTTAAAAACAAAACAAAAAATAACTTAACTCACTATTTTTATACTATGGCATTTTTCAATAATATATAATACATAATTTATGAGCTGGAATGTCGTTTTAAGTTCTAGAAGTTAAAAATAATCACAATTTAATAATTAAGAAATATTGTTCTTTGTTTTTATACAGATTACAACTATACGGAAAAAACCTTCGTAATTTAAACTTCACTGAACCTGTCAATACTAGCTACAATTGTTGCCCTATATAGTTAATTTCTGAAAAGATAGTATAATAAAATAAGACATCACGGCCATTTATATTTCTTTTATTTACTTTTAGTCATTTTCAACTAATCAAAAGTATAATGAAGATTGTGTTCTTCTCTAGAAACTAAATAATGGCGATCAAAACACGCCTGTTATCAATATAATCTGTTCTGAAGTTCAAACTTCGTTCTCACCGATTGGCATAAAATGATAGTTTCGTATATACAGAAGTAATAAGTATGATGTCTAATAGGTATAATGTCATTTGATCAGAAAACAGGAAATAACAGATGCGGTTGCGCTTTTAAACCGAAGCGATTGCCATGGTTTATAATGAAGACTGGTATTTCTCTTATTGGATATGTATCATTCAATACTTTTCGTAATACCATTTTCTTCCAAGAAAACATTACATAAACCAATCACACCAACAAATAACATTTCATGGAGTAAGTGTACTTTATGTTTAGCTAGTACTCATTTGTCCCGATTGTTCTTAACGGGTCGTTCGTAAATTACGAGAGGCGATTTCGGTTACTTTTTGACTGCCCCTCCTTGGTGAGATGTCGTGAGATTTGGCTCGACTCCCTCCCCCTTTTAATTTCACGTGAAATTTTTCAAAATGTGTATTTTTAATGTAAGTACGTTTATGTGTGTTTGATTGCATTGGTATTTATCTAAAAACATAATTTTCTTAATTATATTTATATAGGTTCTTTTTATTTAGTTTTTTTAGATTATTTTTCTCAATGTACTGTGCTACGTATTGTAGCATTCACATAACGGCAATAAAAATTATTGTGCAAGATTTAGCCACATGTAATACAAACGTGTTTTACTTAACTTGTCTCTTCTTGCAATTTAGCGCCGTTTTAAGAGAGAAAAAACGTGATATTTCCCCCTTCTCTCTGTGGCCCCTCTCTCTCACACGTTTATTAGGTGAGATTTACCTTGATCCCTCCCCCTATTGGTCCCTAATTTGTGGATGGCCCCTAACGGACTGTTAAATAGTCAACGAATGCCAACCATTAACAGTGGGTTTTCCTTTCTCTGATTACGGTTAGTCGATTTAACAATATAGTACTATGAGAACTAACATACTTTATAGTCTACGAAACCACGCTCTCGTAGCTCAGTGGCGAAGTTGTTTACCTTTCACCGGGTTCGATTCTTGTAAAATCGCTGTAAAACCTCATGTGAAATTTGTTACGACAACACGTGTTCGCATGCTTCACAGGAGCTAGTCCAATCTCTGTGAAGCGTCCTAAACCTCACCCTATCCTTATTCCTTCCCAATTCTGGCCGGTCGATAGATGACGCAGAACGCGTGTGTGACGCGAGCGCGAAGACTCTACCTGTCGGCGATTCCCTGTCTTGACAATGACTGACGTGACTTGACAATACACCGACCCTTGATGGCGCTTATTAACGGAGGATTACTCCAGTGCGCTCAACGCGATGCGTAGCGTCGATGTAGATTAACATTAAAAAAAGCGTGTGTTGTGCTGGCTCAGGGGCTGGAGGCGGTGGACCGCGCGGGGCGCACGGCGCTGCACCTAGCTGCGCAGAGCCACCGCCCGGAGATGGTGGCGCGCCTGCTGGCGGCCGGCGCGGCGCTGCACGCCAAGGATAACCTGCTGGGCCGCGCGCCGCTCTACTACGCCGTCCGCGCGCGCAGCTGGGAGTGCGCCGCGGTGCTGGTGGCGCGCGGCGCGCAGCTCGACGCCGACGTCTCGGGCAGCCGCCGGGTGCAGCGCCTGCTGCCGCGCAACACGCGCAGCCTCGTCGCGCGCTACGAGATCGACTGGCCGGTGAGTGCTCGGGCGGTTTGGCGTACGCGCTCGGGCGCCTTGGCGTACCGCTCGGGCTTTGGCATTCGCGCACTGGCTTTGACGTTCGCGATCGGGCGCTTTGGCATTACGCTCAGGCTTAGGCATGCGCATGCTGGCTTTGGCGTACATGATCGATCGTTTTAGCGTACTCGCTCGAGGGCTTTGGTGTACTCGCTCGGGCGCCATGACGTACTGCTCGGGCTTTGGCATACCGCTCGGACTTGGGCGTACGTGTGCTGGCTTTGGCATACGTTTTGGCACACGCACTCGAGCGCTTTGGCATACGCGCTTGGGCGCTTTGGCGTACTCGCTCAGACCCTTTGGCGTACCACTCGAACTTTGGCATACGAGGGCTGGCTTTGGCATACGTGATCGATCTTTTTTCGTACGCGCTCGGTGCTTTGGCGTACGCGCTCGGGCGCCATACCGCTTGGTCTTAGTCGTATGCGTGCTGGCTTTGACGTACATGATAGATCGTTTTGGCGTATGCGCTCGAGCGCTTTGGCGTGCACGCTTGAGGAGACATATAACGCCCGCATTCGCACAGAGCCACCAACTAGCGGGCTACTGGTAATTAGGGATGCGTTATGCGTAATAAAACATCGATGTTTGTAACCATGGACGTTTGGAATTAAAACATCGATGTTAATAAAACATGCTCTTAAACCCGACGTTTTTAAACATTGCGCGGGGTCCTTCAGTTCGCCACCGACCGACGTCACTGACCGTGGGAAAGGAAGGATGCGTGAGATGACGCTGCGGACCCATGGCAGTTAACTTTCATCAGCGACACACCCGAGTTGCCTACTGTGAAGTCTGTCATTAAGTTATTTCAGCCCTTGAGTATTTAAATCAAACCTAGTTATAAAGTTCCATTTATTGCTTGTTCCAAAATTGCTTTGCTATCCACGTGATCCGTGTTCACATTAAACAGAGAACTGAACATTTCTAAAACAAGTGACACATTTGACGGCTGTTTTGTGGGCTATAAGAAATTTTAATTAGCGAAAGTAATTCGAAATAACGAAAGTAATTCGAAATTCAGTTAATTAAAAATTATTATTTTCTATTCTCTACTTTTCTTGTCCATCGACGATATGTCTGTTAAACCTCTGTTTGTATTACTTTATATTGCTTACATTACACTTTCTATTTATAGTGAATTATTTTCATATTCAATAGGGTTATCTATTGAATGATCGAAATTCATGTTTTTAATACTTTCTACAGAAATAGTTTACAAGTATCTTTCACTTCATTCCATTTTCATCTGCATCTTCTCTCGTTCACTTTTGCTCACATTTTCACATGTTTAACCTTTATCTTTTCAAATATATTTAGAATCCATTCCCTTAATTTTTTTCTATCTTTAATTTCTTGCCAAAAAGTGTAGTTTTTTAATACTTTTATTTCCCTCTTGTTTTATGTTTTGTGGTCATTTACGTGGTAATTGCTGTAACCCACTAGGTTATGAAGTCAAATACTGCATTCTGACAATTTATCGATCAGCCCTCTTACGCGTGGCTTACAATGAGCAAGAAGGGTGAATATGAACGAAATGAAATGACACGCACCTTGTAGGCTTACAGATGAATCGGAGAATTCAGTGACAATTGTGGCCAAAAAGATGAAATAGTGCTAACGCCTCACAACTCGCTCATTAGAATTCTCCATCTCCACCTTCCACATCAATTGCGCCGTGTATACAGTGTGTCCGGAGAGGAAACGCCAAAATTTCTAAAAAGACCTCTTCAGACAATTTTAAGCATAAAAAAAGTCGAATTTGTAAATTGGGAATTTTTATTTCTGTTATTTCTTTATTTCTAAATACATATATTCATTTATTTTGTAAATAATAAACAATTTACTTATTTGTGTTTCTGCAATGCAAAATATTTCATAGAAAGTATTTTCTCAACCCAACTTTTGAGTGCTTATTGTGGCTCAGACTTTCGGAACATCCAAGTCGTTTATTAGACAAAATATGCTTAAAATATTCTTAAGAGCTTACTTTCAACGTTTTGGCGTTTCGTCCTCGGACACTCTCTATTGTTGTTGAATTTGTTTGTGCGAACGCGCGCGCGCAGGTGCTGAACGTGCCCAAGTCGCAGCACAACCCGACGTCGGTGCTGCACCTGGCGGCGGCGGCGGGCAACACGGGCGTGCTGAGCGAGCAGCAGCGCCCGCGGCCCAGGACGAACGCGCGCGACGGCGGCGGGTGGGCGGC